AACTTTAGTATAAACATTCTAATTATAAAACCAATGCTCACACACATTTTGATTTTGATGGACAAAAGGAACAAAGTAACCAAAATCAATGTGGTTTGCGTCAGCGGTACAATTACATTACGATGGAAGAGAGAGAGAGAGGGAGTAAAACAGTGGCGATGCATTTAAGACAAAGAGCATCATTGCGAAAGTACGTCATCATTGTCATCCTAACCTCTGTCTTATTTATATTATTTTTAACGATTTTTGTATTACATAAAATTACAAAATTTGACTACGTCTTTCAAATCAGTAGCATCTGATAAATTCTGTGCGTGATGGGATATGAGCGAAAAGCAAACCATTTTCCCTGCTGTGTTCTTTCTTCATTATTGATCTCTCTCTCCATCTTAACTTTTAATTTAGTGCCAGAACTCAAATTTCTCGAAATATTGCATGATACTAATTTATGCTAATTCTTAAACATTAAATATCGTGTTTTGAATAATAAAAGCTATAATCACTGTAAGAACGAATGTAATTTTTTTTTTAAAAAAAAACAAGAATGAATGTATTTCATTTTTTTTTTTGCTGAGATATTCATTAGAAGAGATTGATGAGAAGTAGAATATGAATCATACTACAAAATATAAAAATCTAATTTATAGTGAAACTAATTAAGTTTGTTCATATTTAACGATTATTCATTACAAATGTTAAACTAATGACGCTTTACAACCAAAAAATGCAAATTCAAAATTCCAAGAAAATAAATAGAATTGAGAACATCGATGGAAAAGAGCTAGAGAAGCTATTAAATGAGCGATGATGATCTCTCCATCTCAAATGACATATCCTTAGCCACCTGTCATTTACATATACTATATTATATAAAAATATTGTATAAAAGGCCAAGAAAATTAAATAAAAAGGATTCAATAATAAATAGAATAGGCTCATATCTCAACCACCACTATTCATTTGCCTTTTTGTCGATATTTTTGTCCTTTTCTATTTCGTCTCTTTGGCTTTCTTCTTTTGGGAAACCCTTCTTGCTTAACAGTCTCCTCTCCTCCCCTAACTATTTTAGAGCTTTTGCATTTATTCATTCTCAATCTTTCTCTTTCCCTCTCTCTCTTCTTAAACTAACACATTCATTGCTTTATATTACTCCAATATATACATTATGTTATGTTCAACAACAAAAAATATACATAATGTGCTTCAGTTTTCAGACGCCAAAAACCACACCAAGATCTCCTTAACTATTTTCTTTGCCGAGTTAGAGTAATGAAACCGAGGAGGGGCTTGTTCGGTCATCACACTAACTTGTCTCGTTAGGCCAGCTACATATAGATCAAAATATGACAGTTTTACGTAGTAACTCTCTTATAGTGATTTAAATGAATAAATATATTCATCATATCAGAATTGCATTAGCGGGTTGTTTACATTTACAAAAGAATCCAAAGTTTGTTATAGACTTTAGTTATTTTAGAGCAAAAGAAAACCATCATCCAAGCAGAAAGGAGATGAACTAATGATTAACATTTAACATGACTAATTGATTCTGGACTATAAGATACGTTTCAAAGATTCAGCTTATGATTTTCTCAGATTGAATCCTAATAATTAAGTTTTACGTAACAAAAATCAAAATTCCAAAAAGAAAGCTTTACCTTCTCCCAAAAAAAAATCCCACTCCAACAAAATGAGTCACATATAATATAGTTAAATAATATAATACATAACCTTGCAATATCGTCATTTCTTTTTATTATATAATATGCAGTATTTAAAAAAAAAATCATTTGAATAAACAGTTCAATCGTTTTCTGAAAGTACTGCACCCAGTTTTGTATTATTCGAATTTTTTAATCTTAAAAATGAATCGTATATACATAAGAAACATGTCCCATGGATGAACATTGTCTCTCATATTATGTGGGGGTCGCTTTTCTGTTGAGAGAGATATAGAGAGAGAATAGAAAAATCGCGTTAAGATAATGTGTCAAAGAGCAATCAATTTGTAATGAATTGAGAAGATCACAAAAAAGGGTTTTGGATGGATTCATGAAGAAAAAATTTCCCACGAACTTGTACCTAGCTATTTCTGCCATCACACTATAAGATAAGTACACTTCTCACACCTTTTTCTTATTTGTTTATCTTCACTATTTTTTGGGGTAAAAAATAGATAAAATTAAATAGTATCCTTTTATGAATAACTTCTGATTTATTTTTGCGGAGGCAAAATGAGGTAAACGCAACAATAATTTTCCAAAAAAGTATTGAAGATTATTAACAAAGGATCAAGCTCAAAAGTTTTTGAACAATTTCATATGGTAGCATAGATTCTCAAATGAAGAGCCACCTTGCTTGCTAGGTTCGTTTTCTTGTGGTCAAGTTATGAAAAATGTTTCCCTTAATTGTATTTTATTTTGCTAGGTTTATGTGTTTCCATTAATTTCTAGTACGATTTTATTCATCCAAACTATATTGACTATTTATTTGAAAATTGGCATATTCGCATGCCGTGACATCATCTTGTTTTGGTATTTTAATTATATAAGCACTAATATCAACTAATTCAAATACTATTTTGTAGTATCTTACAACTTCAGTATTACATCCATATTTGCTATTAGGCGAACCAAAAAAAATTAGCATTTAAGTGGCATTCGTGATCATATGTCAATCAATATTTGTTGTTTACAATGTTTTAAATTTCTTAGCTCTATTGGATTTTCATTTTTGTTATATGTACAAGTAGAACAAAAACTCTGAAACTTACTATTTCTTTCATTTCAAAACAATTGATGTTTTAGAGAAAATAGTTTCAAATTATATAAGGTTTTTAATTCTCAATGTAAAATTTATCAAATTTTAATATTTATTAATTTGTAATTTGTAATATGTTCTATTATTGGTTAAATTATGTTCAAGTAGATAATAATATATGTTTTTATTGAGAAAACAAAAAATCAAACATTTTTAATCTAATCGCAAAAACCTTAAATAATCAGAGAAAATGATACACACTTTGGGGGTATTTAATCAAATAGGAGTTGCGATGTAAATGGACTGATTGAGTAAAAGCTTTTTGGGAGTTAAAGATTTAATTAAAAGAATCTAATTTATGCCTCTCCCTCTCTTATTTTTTTTAATGTAAAAAAAATGATGCAACCGTGCGGGCGACAGGTGCAAAGGCGGGCAAAATGGTTTGACAATCCTTTACTTTAGGGTTTCTTCAAAAGTACTCTGAGAATTTGGGGGATTTTGGTCAACACTGGGAATTGTGTCGATACTTCTCATTACTTATTTTTATTAATAAATAGATCGATCAATTAAACTGTGAATATAATCATCATTGTTATATGTATCTTAAATGCAATTGACTAGTTGACATAAATAATGCAATTGAATTGACTAGATACAGTTGCATTGTAAAACGGAAAGAACAAAAAAAACGCGTCTTTAATCAAACAATGTTTCCTTCTTTTTAAAGCAATCAGAGAAAAAGAAAAATACTACTCGTAGTTTGCAATATCTAGGATTAATTCTTTTTACATTTGATTTCAATCTCCTTATTACTTCGTTAGTTCTTTTCGTGTAGCCTTTATTAAATTAGAAACAGATAACCAACTTCAACTTATTCTTTATCAAGAAAAAAAACAAAGTATTCAGTTCCTGTATTCATTTAAATTAACATTAAAAAAAAAAACAAAATAGTATTCAGTTGTCAAATTGGATGCAAAGCAAATCCATATATAATGATCTTTCTATTGACTTGTAACTGAAGTTGCCAATGTATACTGCTTTCATTTATTCTCAACTTCTATAATTAAAACCAACAACAACAAAATACTATACATGGAAAAATCGGAAAAATCTTAACTTTTGATCGGATACACAATAAAAAAGAATTGAAATCTTTTTTATTTATTTACACTTTATTATTGATTTGAAGTTAAATGTAAGTAATGATCTCTTGTAAATATCTTACTAAAATTTAACTTTTCTCTTTGTAAGAAAAAAATCCTTTATATATTTTTTTTAACAGTATTAAAGCAAATTAATGTTTGTATATTTTGTGAAAGATTCTATATTTTCATATTTATATTAAAAATAGCAATAGTAGTAAAATGAGATTTTGCATAAAGATATTTGACAAAAAAAAAGGAAATATATTAAATTGTGACAAATTAAATGTTCAGTCTCGGCCGTACTACATAGTTAATGGTACAGTTAGTATGGTAAATATCTATGCGGAGACTTGAAGAGAAAGCCTAGAAAGAGCTATTGGGATGTTTCATGTTCATGTTGTATTCCGTTAAGCTTCTTCCTACATCAAATCGTTATCCTTGACACTGACAGTGTATCTCACATTCCACATCAAACATGTTTTCTTCTAACATTTTATTATTTATAATTTTATACTATATAACAACTTTCATGTCATCTGTCTGTTATAATTCGTTTTCATTTGTTTTTATTAATTATATTTAATAGGTTGGAATTTTGAAATAAAAAGGGTAAAAAAGAATGGTAAGACACAAAAGACTTAAGTCTAAACATTTAGACAAACAAAAATAAAAAAGAATGGCATATTTCATATTCATTTTATTCAATTCCAGGATTTTTTAAGTCATCAAATATTAAATAAAAAATACTTTAGAAGTCTGATATTAAAAATCATCTCAATGTCAACTGAAATAAACTCTATACTTTCATGCTGAAGATATATATGAATCCTATTAGAATCGGCATATCTGGAATTATTATGCTACATAAAATGCAAGATAAATGAAGAGAACAAACAAAAACCTTTGTCCATGAAATTAAAAGAAATACAAAAGTAACTATCATTATATATCTAAATGATAACATTATTAAAAATAATATTAAAAACTGAAATTTTAATGTCATCAAGAGAGACGTACCGCACGATTAATATATTTTTTGGTTTTCCTTCCACACCAATATATAATGTTTTTTGTTCTTAAATCATAAAACTCATCAGTAACCAAGCCAAGATCAACGACGAATGAACCAACCAAAAACCCTAAAATCTCAAGACGGATCAACGGTACGCCGACCGTCATCTCCGGCCGCCGCTCTCGGCTGCTGAAACTGAGTGATCTGTCCAATCGCAAGAATCCCTCCGTCGTAGTTGTTACCGGCGGGAACATCTAACCCACCAAAGATCTGTTCTCTAGGGAAAAACTGGTGATGATGATAGTGATGGTCTCTTACCGTCGCCGTCGTCGTTCCATCTGCGGCGGCGCCGGCGAGCAAGTTAATGCCAAGACTCTGATGCGTGGCGGCGAGGATGTTGAGGCTTTGGTACTTTGAAAGCTCAGATTTTGCGCAGCTGAGATCGATCTGAAGCTGACGAAGCTGATGCTGGAGAAGAGAGATGACTCCGACGCAACCGTAGACTGGATCACGGAGACGCATGTCGGCTTCGTAGGCTAAAGAGTTGACTGCGTCTTCACGTTGTGAAGGGTGAAGCTCGTTGAGGAGCTTCGTGACGTTGCTTGCTCCAAAGACTTTGTGAACGTTTGCGAATTTCTGTGGCTGGTCAGGTGGGAAATACGGCGCAAATACACATTCGGGTTGGCATTTTCGCCGGAGGAATTTGCAGGCTGCGCAAGGTGAGTTTGTTGATGAAGATGCCATTTTTTGTTTTTGGTAATGAGTTTGGTTTATGTCTCACTCTCCCTACACAAAGCCGCCATTGAAATTAGAAATCTTTTTTTTTAGGGTTTTTGATATTTTGAATTGTTTTAATGAAGGAAGAAGTTATATATATAGGGAAAGAAGATATTATGAAAATCAATTGTGAAATTGATAAGATTTGGAGAAGTTTTTTGGTTTTAATAATGAAATTTGGAAACCTTTTGAATTTGAAATTTGATTAGAAAAAACAAAAACTGAAATTCGAAATAGGTGACAACGGAAAGAAATAATTTAGAAATGTTGTTGAATCTTTAGATAATAAGAAAGATTTTTACCTGCGACTAAATTAAGAAAGTCCTCTTTGAATATGGTTCTGTTTCTCTGAAGAGGAAAGTAAAAGGAGATCCTCTCTGCTTTTTCTCTAAGCTCTGATCTGGGGTTGCATATAAAAGCTGTAAAATAAGAGAAACTTTGTAATGACCAGCTAGTATTTAATATATTTGGTGAGCTCTATATACACATACATATACACTTGGTATTGTATATGTATAGTTTTATATTCACTCGAACCTTCTTGTCAAACTGTTGAAAACAAATAAGGAAACAGAAGAAAAATAATGAGCAACATGAAGGTGCTTTTCTAAAGTCAAACAAAAAGGTATGCACGAAGTATAATATATGCTTGGAAGCTATAAAGTTCATCCCAAAGACCTACACCTATGTGTATATTTATAGAGGGACTTTGTAGCTATATGATTGCTAGTCAAATTTTGGTAACTAGACCTAAAAGGTGTAGAAACAACCTGCGAAATTTCAAATGTTTGTAAAAGAACATCCCAAGAACAACAAAAGAGAGAAATAAATTTAAATTTTTGTACCTTAAAGATGGAATGCGTAAGGATATATGGATTAACGAAATATAAGGAATAAAATAGATGGGATCAATGGTGTTCTTTGTGTTGCTTAGATAGGTAGGTGTGAGAGAGAGAAGAAGAAGAAGAGAGAAGAGAAGGAAGAAGATGTAATTAATAACTAAAAAGCAAAAGATTGGATCTCGTGAAGCTAGAAGAGACTTTTGGGTTTTGAGGCTCTCGATGGGCAAAGCTCATCTTGTGCTTAAATGTCATATATTTTACTCAATGAAATATATTATTTTTTAAGAAAAAGGAGCTCATAAATATGATAAGACTAGTAGTAACTAATGTTATTTTTAATTTATACTAATAAATAACTATAAACATACCTTCAATAGTAATATGATTTGGTGGTGCTAGAGAGAATTGATTTCCATGTGAAGAAGTTGAGAGTTTCCAAGATGAAAAGAGAAGAGAAAGAAGAGAGGATCTTGGGATGAACCCTTGGACCCTAGCATAGACTCTAACAACAATAATACAATAAAAGTATTATTATTAGTATTAACTTTCAAAATCATATAGTATATATAAAAAATAATTAATCAGAAAATAAAGGAAATAAATGTGAAAAGGAGAGATGGGAAATGAGAGATGGGGTCTGACTCTGACTCTCCTGATGGATCTTGGGATGAAGAATTTTGCTCTTTTTATTCTTATTCTTTTTGTCTAGGGATTTACATACAGTAACGAAGCATTTTGTTATTACTATTATTATACTCTATAGTAATAATACGATTATTATATTTATATGATACGGTTGACAAAAAATCACATTTACATAAGAAAAAAATAGTAATAAATTAATGATAGAGTAGAAAAGTTGGTAATGAAAGTTACTACTAGCCTCAAGTTTCTCGGTCAAACCCTTTTTTTCATGTTTGTTTACATAAAAATCAATATGAATCTACTGCCATATTCTTTCTCATCTTCTCTCTCTTTCTCTTAATGTCAATATTATTATATTAGGCTCATGCAAGTGTTTTAATTTTTGGACTCGCTAGTTTTGCGCAGAGTTAAAAGAAAAAAGAAAAAAGAAAAGAGAATAAGTGAAAGAAAAGAGGAAAGCATAGAAAGATGATGAGTTTTTAGGATCAGTACTATCTCCCTTAGGTGTAGGGAGATAGAGAGAGAAAATCGCCCAGATGCAGAGGCTAAGGAAACGGAGAGAAAGAACAACTTTATGGTGTGTTGATATATAGATAGATATAGAGAGAGAGAGAGAGAGAGAGAGAGAGACTAAGTAATCACAGACTCTTTCTTCTTTCTCATATACTTCTCTATATATACATTTTCCTATACAAGAAAATTAGGACATAGACCAAGAACGTTGTTAGGATAATGATATTAAACATCTTCTTTGTTATGGAGTTTAAAGATTTAACCCAACATTACTAAACCCTTAAGATTAGGTACTAGCATTTTAAAGCATTTTAGTTTGTATTTTCTAGTCTAACTATACACTCTCCTCTACAAGAAAATTAGGACACGGACCAAGAACATTGTTTGTATAATGATATTAAACATCCCCTTTGTTATGGATTTTAAAGATTTAACTCAACATTACTGAACCCTTAAGATTGGGATCTAGTATTTGTTATGGAGTTTAAAGAAGATGTTTAATATTGGGTTCTAGTGACTCTTTCTTCTATATCTATCTAAGACTTCTCTAGATATACACTTTCCTCTAGGGGAAAATTAGGAAATATACCATGAACATTGTTTATAAAATATTAACAATCTTCTGTGTTATGGGGTTTAAATTAAAGGATTTAACCCAATATTACTAAATCGTGAACGTTAGGTTTTATTCCGTATGCATTTTAGATTGTATTTCCAAAATAAAGTAAAAAATATTTTTTTATATTAAAGCATGACTTAATATGATGTATTTGGGTTGGGGACAGAGGCACCGTTTTTTAGATGCTTTAGCTTTTAGTCATTTCAATGTTAAAAATTGAGGACACATTCAAGTACATCTCAAGACACACGTACGAACCAATTACACAACTTAGTTGTCGTATGGAATGCTTTTTTCCCCTGTAAATCGAGTATGGCTATTGATTTACAGTTTGCTGCAATTTTTGTAATGAAAACCCGTACATGTTCTCTTTCGTATAACAACATTACCACTTACTTCCTATTATTATTTATTCAAACTCATTTTACATATTCAAACATTAATGTGGTGTGTCTGTTCGTCATAACTTTTATATATTTGAATCCTCAACCAATAGAACCAAATTAAACCACTACAACCACATTCATTAAATTTGTGTTTGTACCTTATGTACTACCAAAAATATTTTAGAAATTTTGTCGGAATTGTCAAGATTTTTAAACTTTCTTTGGTTCAAAGTTAGGCTAAGCAAAAGTTATATGCGGTCTAAACGGTTTAGGTGGTCGTTTGAAACAAATCTAGATTGAAATTTAGTTGGTCTCTACGATTAAACTGATACAAGTCATCACTTTTTACGTACGACCTAACCTAACGAAGAAACGTGCAAAGAGAATAAACGGTTATTATTATCTTATAGCATTTAACATTTGTCAATTTGGCGAGAGAAGCATGGATGCATGATGAATGAGAAATGAATAGAAGCAAGTGGGTCGTGATTGTATATTGCATTGTTGTAATTACTGTAGGAGCAGAGTTCTGCAACACTATTTACTCGTACCCATTTTCAAACGACAACCATTCCTTTTTATTTAATTTTTATTATTAAACTTTTTAAAATATAAAACAGTTTATGTCTTCATGTTCTTTGTCTTCTTCCTTCGTTTATAACAATGGGTCCAAAAATCATAGAATTCACACCATATGGATGGTAACATGTTACCATTTAATATTCATAATATGTGTGTTTGGCTTATATCATTTTCATATAGTGTTTCTATTATTATATTTGTATATACATTGCGTCCTCTTATAAAACTATAGATTGGATTCAAAATACAATGTTTTCCACACTTCTGGGCCTACGCTTATTACAAGGTTCTTATATATATATTAATTTTAGTGATAACAAAGATTCATCATCTCCGATTTTGAAAATGTTAACTGAACATTCAAGTATCAGAAAGTAAGACTAGAATAGTAAAATCGAACACTTCTAAGAATAGTTACAATAGAAGAAACAGTTAAAGGAGCTATCTACTTTTTGATTAGTCTAACGATTTAACTTCCTAATGAGATTATTCAAGGAGACATGAAAAAAAATAGTTTGTTTGATTAAGGAAGTATTTTAAGCAAAACATTAGTTCTAACTCAAATTACTTGATATTGAGTAGATAGTACTTAAATTTCTTCTTAATTTATACTTTGATATTCTTAATTAGCCTCACTATGTATAATTTTTTTTAACCATTTATCTTAGCATAGTCTCTTTATAAGATCAAATTTCAGAACTGATTGAACATACAAAAATTTGGATTTGGATCGAGCAGACTATTTCAGATCATATAGAGTTAAGATCAAATTCGATCAACGTATTTCTTCGGATTCTACTATAATGCTAAATTTTATTGATTTCCATCGAAAACAAAATGATTGACCCATAATTTTGGCAATCAAAAATGACCTAATGGTACACGTACACATAAGAGAGAAAAAAAAACTCCGCTTCATCTCTATGTCAAATTTCTAACCTACAAAAATTGAAAAACTAACTTCATTTAGTAGCAATGTACCAAAAAAAGACCAAGTTTCGTTATATCAACTCGTAAAAGGCCTTAGGCCAAGCCTAAAAATCACAGAATCAAATGACACTTAGAATTGAACTAATCTTAGATTCTATAGTTTCGGATTTAAAGAAATTACGCGCTTTGGCCCAGAACCTCTTAATACTTAAAAAAAATTACCGAAAAAGTAGAGTTTACATATCCAAAAGGGGTCGATAGAGACTGATCGAAACGTGCTATTATTATTTTATGTATTTATAGGTGGAATGGAGTATAACACATTCTAATAAACGTGTGGCTCATTTTCTCCCTTCGTTGAATAAAAGTTGTATGAACAAAACAAATGAATGAAACCCCCAATTACGGTTTTTATAACACTACTTAGATAAAAAAAGATAGTGTAAAATAAGATTCTTGTTTGCATGAATTGCAATTAAAATTGGTTTTTGTTTTACGTGAAGAAACCATAGGATCTCCCAAAACAAGAGAAGCCAATTTCTTTAACAGAATCTTTGAACAAAAATAAATTTGGAAAGCGAAGCCCAAGCCGAGTAATGAATAGCAAACATAACTAATGAAAAGCCCAATAGACATTTAGATTTTTCTAATGCTTTACCAGATGTCGAGACCTCGGCCTTAACAACACTATCGGATACTTTGAAGCGGAAATTAGGGACATAAACCTGAGTATATAGACCAATTGTTATGCTAGATGAGTAAAGATCAGTTGAATGGTTTCTATTACGTATGAAATTAATCAAAATGCATCAAAATAAGAAAGTTAGAAAATGCGACAAATCTGTTTTGATGAAAATGCGGCACATAGTTTTTGTAAATGACACTATGATAATATAAAAGTCTCTGTGGAAACTATGGGAGTTTTGAGTCTTTGTAAAGTCACTTTGACTGTTATAAGGAATGAGAGAGAGAAGAGAGAGAGAGAGAGAGAGAGAGAGAGAGAGAGAGAGAGAGAGAGAGAGAGAGAGAGAGAGAGAGAGAGAGAGAGAGAGAGAGAGAGAGAGAGAGAGAGAGAGAGAGAGAGAGTACAGAAAAAAGAATGAATTGGTGCCATTTGAGGAATGGAAGAATCAAGCTGTCTTCTTAATCACTGAAGACTTGGCAAGATCGAGTAGTGAGACAAACCTCAGAATTAGTTTGAGAGGTTTCATCTATAAAAAATTGAGATAATTAAAAATATTGGACAAAAAACACCACTATTATGACCTTAATACTTTTGAAAGTTATCTCTTAATACTTCTACAAATATTAATATGTTTTAGGTTTTAAAAGTGAATTACTAATAATAAAAAATGACTTCTAAAAAAAATAATCTGTGAACAAAAAAAATCAAACAAAATTACAATAACCCAAA